CTAGACACAATATAATCATGATAAATAGGGTAACCCTTGACACACTATAATGATGATAAAATAGGATAAATATCCTAACAGAAATAATAGGCATTTCAAAAATTTCAGAATACTAACAAATAATCCTTTGGTAAGCAGCTCTACCATAGGAATTCAAATATTTTATCGACATGTGCCAGAGTGTGATGACCGTTTCTTTGCACATCTCAAATAATGATAAAAATGCTAAAAAGATTACGTGGTAGACCATGCCAATCTAAGAATTATCCCATACAAACCACTTTGGTTTGATATAGATGAGCAAAGATTATTTTACAATTGAATAAAATCCTATTTCCAAATAATGCATCTTACGGATCAATCTTAATCCTACATCTTAATCAATTCACTGATATCAAGCTTGTCTCTGTTTGTGCTGCTCAGACAATAATTCCGCACTCACCTATAGGCAGTTATTGGGGCACTAGGATCCGGTTCCCTTGGCATTAACTCTAAACCTCGCCCTTCACTTATCATCTTAGCAGCCAAGTCAATCATAGAAGCTGTGTGAGGGAGCGTAGCCTGATATTCCCTATCACTGACAGGAGCCTGAACAATTAAATAGATATAGAAAATTAAACATTCATCCAAAAAAACAGATGGGATAAGATGATATTATATATTGATATTGATCAAACAAAACATCCACTTTCTTCTTTTGGTTGTAGAACATTATTCAATAAATATTAGAAATTCTACAAGGCTATTATAACAATGAATCGTTTAATTAAAATAATAAATTAAAATAAAATAATTGCTATAACTCGTTAATGTGTTATTAATTACTATATAGTTCCTAAAATATATCTTACACCTAATAGTATCAAATACCAATATATTTAAACATTACATATTATACTTGTATAAAAGTAATGGTATTTCCTATTCTGTTGTTGAATTTGCCTTGGTGGACTTCTCAAAGCATGTAGAAGGTACGATAATACAAAAAGTCCACATGATAACTGCAAACTATTTATGTTGTTAAACCCCACCTTATGCAGGTTATATTCTAAACGTCACCACTCGAGCATTAGAAATAAAATAAAGCTTACACCAGTTCAAGCTCAAAACAACAATTAGGTTCGGGCATGTTGACTACTTAACAATAACATTATCTGGTGCTAGTTATTAACATTATGATGATTAGTGATACGAACGAGAAAGCTGACATCAATATTCCTATATATGCTATAAAAGATCTCATATTTCTAGAGCTAGTTCTAATATTAACATTCTAATTCCTAATGCTGTGTTGATCAGATTTTCACTTTTAAGAACCATGCTTAAGTTAAATACAAATAAACAAAAAGGTTTGTAGCATCATTCACTTGTTACATAATATATACAATGCAAATTGAAGTGAGGAAATGAAGTTATCAGTTCATCAACAATGGTAAATGGAAATCGTAATGCACCAGTGTTTAGAGGAAGGGAATAAACAAAAGTCGCTGTCACGGTTTATATCACTTTCTCAACAGTAATATACCAAAGCAACCATTTATATTCAAATTCATATAACTACCTATATACTTAAACATATTGATGCAATTTCCTTTCAATTTTTCAGGTTCTAAAACTTCAATATGTGTATACTTCATAATAATTGCAACTTGATGCAAACATAATTTCAGGTGGCATTGGAAGAGTTCAGTTTGTAGGAAAGCATATAACAAACATAATTCATTTTCAAAAACATGTTATTCAACTTTATACAAATATTCTAAAGATTTTAGAAAAAAAAAAAAAGAAGCAAAGTTACTTCAAAGTGAAGACAATCCCATCCAGTCAGATTGTAGGCTCCAAAATAGCATCAAATGACTCAAACCCGTTTAATATTATTATGACCTTAAGTGTGTTAAGATAGCAACCTAGGTGAATAGGGCCACTAGTCTCATATGAAAACATGACTATTAGAAGAATAACACCCCTGAGTGTGAAATCAAATTTAATTAGGCTACCATTTTACATAAAACATGCAGATGAAAAAAAAATGGAAGAAGGAAGTTCATAACTGATACATCAATCAATGTGTACCTGAAAGATGGCAGCACGAACTGCTCGGGAGCAAGCATAATTTGTGCGCATGTAATGCACAATATCCTAAATAAAACGTTTAAAAACAACAAGAACAAATTAAAATTTCACAATGAATAACAGTAGCAAGGGAAGTAGAAATATAGCTAGGACATGAAATAGAATATAACCTGACAGCCGGTACTATGCCCTAGCAATGCCACGCCTTCGGATTCCTCTTTGTTAATTAAATAATTAATCAGCTGATCAAGCTCCTTGGCATCCTACAACATAAAATCAACAAGCTTAAGAATCAAGGTAACCATCCTTGTCGATCAGATAGAAATATCAACATTGCACCTTTCAGTGAAACATAAGAACGAATATACAATGTATTTTTAAAAACACATAATACCTTGAGAATGGCAAAAAATTGAGGCAGCACAAATATTTTAAATATATGTTATTTGAGGCTGCAGTAACAAAGTTCATGCTCCTGGACTCTAGGAAATTAGGATCCTTAGTTGGCCATTTTTAACAATAGAACTAAATTCTGAGGATATTGCTAGGTGAAGTAAGGCCAGAGATCACACTAATTTAACAGAAAAATAAATTACTTATAAACGTCTGATGAAAAAGTCCATGCTGTTGTGCTTTATTCTTTTGGATTATTAAACAAACAACAAAGTTCTCTTCCACAAGAAACCTAAGGTCAGCACTAAGCACCAAGACCAATGTTTGATTCATATTGCTCATGGTAAGGAGATGCTTTTTGCAAAAACTAAGCTCACTATATCAAAGGAAAAAGGCATTTACTGACTGAATTAAAACAATATTTTGTCTTTGGTTTTAGTGGAATTATATGGTAGCTTACTATAGTCTTAATAATTCCACAATTTTGAGCTAATCATGTAAATTAATAGGCAAAAATCTGTTTTATATAATGTGTTATAAATACTTCAGTGCAACCTGTAACAGCACAGCATCACTGGGAATTAAAATTTAACTGATTACTTGTTGCAAACTGGAGGTGCCATATCCACTGTAAGAAGATGACATAAGAAATTGAACTAATGACCAATTCTCACGGTCCAGAGCAATTGCCAAAGGTTCCAAGTATCTACAAGAAGATGAAGAAAATGGACGTCAGATAGAGACTATTCTAAGGTTTGCATCTACAGCTGGAGCTTAAGAAAATGTATAGAGACCGGTATAAATTTTCCACTAATAGATAAACTAATAATAATACCCACTTGTAGCAAATTTATCTTCAAATGAAAAAAAAAAATCATACATCAATTAAAAAATAAGTTGTTGCCACACGATGGAATAGGATTAAAAATAAGTTTGGAAATGTATAAAAAACTATATTTATTTTAGTGTTCCAATAGTTATTTTAAAGAAAAAAATTTATAATTACTGAAAATTTGCCACACAATAAATTTAAAAAAGAAACAACTGCATACAAATTGCTTAATTTTTTATTCCATAGAGCTTCATTAAAATAGGTGGAGAAAAATATAATCTTTTTAAGCTTATTTGCGCAAGTTTCAAAGCCAAACTTATGAATAAGCTCACATTTTATATGGTTACAGGAACTTACTGTCCACACGCACCCAATCATGTTAGTCATCAAAGACTCAGAAATCTTAGATAGGGCTTTAAGCAAAGAAAGCCAAGGCAATCACAGAACACAAACATTAGGTATTATCAATCGAACCTAGGGGGAGAAAAGTTTGGCTTTAAAAACATGGATATAAAAAGACGAAATAGTATTGTACTTCGAGAATGAAAGATCAATCAAATGAAACAATTTGAATGCATTGGAGGGGAGGGAAACACACATCAATATGTAGACCAACACAGAGAAGAGATCTATTTCTGAACAGTTCTACTCAAAAGCTTGTAAAATTCAATGACACCACTCATGCACCAAACATACCCGACTGCTAATTTCGTATTTCTTCCAATACTACCGGAGCATAACATTTTGTCACAACTACACATTCACATGCTTGAAAATGTTCTCAAGGATTCCCAATTTTTTTTTTATTACTCAGAATTCATTGGCTTGAAAAAATCATGGCTGTTCCTATTCTCATCTATGGAATATATTCAATGTTTTTTTATTTTATATTATATATTTAATTTAAGAAATTACCAATCATATTGTCCTAAGTTCTAAAATCATTCTCGTTCAGATGATGAAAGACACATAGCTTTGAAATAAACGAGCAGTATGATACGTACGAAGTAGCAAGAAAACCATCGGTCAATCCACCAATAAAGATGACTTGCCGCTTGAAATCGCCAGTCTTAAATGCAACCTGCAAAAAACTAAATCTATAACAAGGCCCTCCATCCATGAAAACCAGAAAGCATAAACAAAGCAAAAGAGGAATTGAAAAGTAAAGAGACAATGACAGAAACTGAACAAAAGGCAACGCAAGTACGAGATTCACGGAGGAAAAAACACAATACAGAAAACACGAAAACACTAACGCTTACGCAGCACACTCTGAATAATTACTATTTTACTTTCTTTCGAAAAAATCAGAGATCTCGAAGGTCGAATACAATGTAGAAGAGTAGGTGCGATATTACTAATATTGAACAGAAGATAAGTTGGAAATCATAATCATCCACAAGCAAATCAGATTCATATGCATAAAAATAAAAAGCAAGGTAACGAACCTGAATAGACTTGGGACCGTACTTGAAAAGAACCCCTCGGAACTGATTTCTGCGGACGACGGGACCGCCGGAGTCGGTGGAGGCAGCGACGGCGGAGGAATTAGTGGACATCTTCAAACTGCTTGAACGACCCGGTCGAACGATTCCAAAGAGCCAGGACGAAGATGAAGAGGAGGAGGAAGAAGTGAGAGAAGGATTCATTGCCACATGAGCGGGTCCGTTAGATTATAGCCATGATGTGATGGTAGTGGACGGACTGTGGTATCGGGATTCGAGAACGAAAACGGAAGATCCCTCCAAGTTCCACAACATGACAGAGCAGGTTACCGGTTAGCTCTGCAGAGTTTGGATCAGAATGTCACCGGCTCGCGACCGCGTAGCTCTCACGCGCATGTAAATCTTGCGGAATGTGATTGCTGTTACCAGTTACTCTTACCCGGTGGCTGAACTGTCTTCTTAAAAAATAATAATAAATAATATAATATATAATATTAAACACATCTCAATGATAAAAAAAAAAGGACTTTATTTGAACTTACAACTTTTAAGATGAATTTTTTCTTCAGTTAAGACATAAAAAATAATTTAAATTAAATTGAATGATTTTGATTTAATATACTTTAGATCAAAGTTTAAGCTAGATAGTAAATTTATGGACCGGTTTATTTTACAAAAACAATAATTATATTAGGAAAATAAATATTTTTACTGATATATCTTATTAAGTAATATTTTAAATTATGATATTTAAAATTATAATTCATTTTATTAATATAATTTAAATTTAAAAAAATACATAAAACTAAATTTGTTTGATAGAACATCGAATCATATTAAAAAACAATGATACACAACATTTCTTTTACAATATTTTAATATCATTTATATGTTGATATAAAATTATTTCACAATCAATAATAATAATAATAAACATTAACATAAACCAATTACAAAATAATACGTAAATAGTATTAAAATATTGTTAAAAAATATTTTCAAAGTATATTATTAAAAAAATTGTACATTTAAAATACCGATTTGTCTGGTCCAATGCAAATTTCATAGTCAGTGTGTTCGATTGGATTTTTCAATCGTTGTGATGTAATTTTATTTTGAATTATTTTGTGTTATTTTATGAAAAATGTTTTTTTATTTAGAGACGGTTTTATTGATTTTTTATTAGAATTTTTTTATATTAAAGATTGAATTTTTTTTGTGTCAAATCTTTCTTAAATTGTCAATTTATTAGATTGTTAAGTATCTATTTTTTTTAATTCTATTAACTTATTAATCTGTTATAGATCGTATTATTAAGGGTTCTGGTTTAAATTTTATTTTCTTTTTAAATTTTTCCATCTTATAAATCCAAAACAAATTTGAATATTTGTGTTTTGTGAGTTGTTTTGAAATCGTGTTCCAATCATTGGTTTTAGAATTTTGTAAAAAGTAAAACTTCCGAAGTTTTATTTAATTTAGTTTAGCTTTTAATATTTTTTCGTTTAAATGTGTATTTTTACATTTAATTCGTAAAAATTATTGTATTGTATTTTTTTATCTGATTTTACATGAGTTTTAAAGTTTAAAGATTTTTCTCTTCAGTTTTTTTTATTTATGTGTTGAATTACAAAATTGGAAAAGAAATAATGAATCAATTCAAAATAAAACAAATATATTGAAAAGAAGATAAAAGGAAAGAGTAAGGATCCAAGAGAAAAATATATATTTTTAAAAGAAAAGAATTTACAGAAAAAAAAAATAAAGAGTTCAACACAATATTTTTGTATCACTTTTGTTGAGGTTGTTTGATCTGTCATTTTCTTAGTATTTCCAAGTTGTCTCATTTAATTGTTTTTTTAGTCTTCTATTTTTTAATTTTGTTTTGTCTTATATTTTTTTTACTTCTTGGGTTTAGTAATTTTTTTACTTTTACATTCATTTTAAACTATTGAAATTCTTTGTCAAAAAGGGAATTTGAATAGAAAAATAAATAATACATTTAAAAATAACTTAAGTGAACTTTTTTTATTGAAACACTTAAATGAAATCCAATGCATGCGGTTACATGTTAAGTAAATATAAAAAAAAACACAATAATTAGTACTTATATACATTTTATTTTATATATATTTTAACTGAATGACAGATCTATAAATATTGAGATGTAGAAAAAATGTTAAGAGGTGAGAAAACAATTGTTATTTTATCCGTATTTTTTGAGTATTACTTCCTCTACCACCACTAAATCTTTCCTGCACCACTACATACCTAATTCGTCCTTTCAATTTTGTCTTCAACGATTTCACCTTTAACGGATGTTGATATCCGTCAACGAATATGACCACATCTATAATCTAAAAACTAAAAAAAAATAAAAATAACGGATATGACCACATTCGTTTAACTAATAATAATATAAAAATATTATAATAATTAATTAAATAATAATATATAAATTAAATTAATAATAATTATTTTACTAAATAAAACAAAACTAATTTATTTATAGTTATGTAATAAATTTTTAAAAAAATTAAATAACATTTATATTAATTTAAAATATAATAAATTAAATAAATTAAAAAAAAACTTACGTGATCAAATCCGTTTACTTAATAACATAAAAGATTTTATAATAATTAATTAAATAATAATATATAAATTAAATTAATAATAATTATTTTACTAAATAAAATAAAATTAATTTATATATAATTATATAATAAAATTTTTTAAAAATTAAATAATATTTATACATTAATTTAAAATATAATAAATTAATAAAAAAAAACTTATGGATAGATGTACGACATCCGTTACTTAATAACATAAATTTTTTTATAATAAATAATTAAATAATATATAAATTAAATTAATAATTATTATTTTACTAAATAAAATAAAACTAGATTATATATAACTATACAATAAATTTTAAAAAATTAAATAATATTTATATATTAATTTAAAATATAATAAATTTTAAAAGAATTAAATAATATTTATATATTAATTTAAAATATAATAAATTTTAAAAGAATTAAATAATATTTATATATTAATTTAAAATATAATAAATTAAATAAATTAAAAAAAAACTTACGTGATCAAATCCGTTTACTTAATAACATAAAAGATTTTATAATAATTAATTAAATAATAATATATAAATTAAATTAATAATAATTATTTTACTAAATAAAATAAAATTAATTTATATATAATTATATAATAAAATTTTTTAAAAATTAAATAATATTTATACATTAATTTAAAATATAATAAATTAATAAAAAAAAAACTTATGGATAGATGTACGACATCCGTTACTTAATAACATAAATTTTTTTATAATAAATAATTAAATAATATATAAATTAAATTAATAATTATTATTTTACTAAATAAAATAAAACTAGATTATATATAACTATACAATAAATTTTAAAAAATTAAATAATATTTATATATTAATTTAAAATATAATAAATTTTAAAAGAATTAAATAATATTTATATATTAATTTAAAATATAATAAATTTTAAAAGAATTAAATAATATTTATATATTAATTTAAAATATAATAAATTAATAAAAAAAACCAAAATCTGGTATATCCGTTAATGGATGTAACACATCCGTTGAAAATTTTTTTCTTTAACGGATGTTTTGAAAAAAAAATGGGATTGTAAGATATTTTAAATATAAATGATAGAATTTAAAAAGAATGTGTGGTGCAGGAAACAATGTGAGTGGTGTAGGGAGTAACTCTCTTACCTTTTTCAGCGTACTGTTTTTCGTTCATATGGGCTTCTTCCTTCATCCCATGTATTTCATTTTAAACTCTCACACTTTTCCTCAATGCTAACTGGAATGACCAATCCAATTAAAATATTTGTGTTTAAGATTGCTCAATTCAATGAATATGTGATTGAGTTTTTAAAAAATATTTTTAATTTTTAATTATATAAAGTTTAGAAATTAATTTTTTAAAAATATATTAATAGACTTTAAATTAGTTATCTTTTGTGACTGTAACCCTAATAATGGACAAAATAAAGCAGTTGTTAAAAGATTTTGGCTAATTCATCATGGGGTCCAAATTTTGAATTAGTTGTTAAACTGATCGTTAACTACAAAAAATAAATTTAGCAATTTAGTCACTGTTTAACTTTATTTATTTATTTTGTAATGCTTAACTGTTAGGAGTTGTGAATTTGATTTATGTAACATATTTATACAATATTAATATAACGGTTACAGTTATTTATTCTCATCAGCGTGAGATTTATTATTTTTCCTTAATCTCACTTTAGTTTTGTGTGGCAGGGGAACGAAAACAAGAAATTAGGTTAACATATAATTAATTAAAAGAAAAATAAATAAATGTACTTCATTCAAGAAAAACAAAATAATTTTATTAGTAATAAGTTTATGTATAATTAATTATATGTTAACCTAATAAACAAGATATATATTAATAAAAAGTAATATTAATAGAAAAAATTTAAAATTAATTTCAATTAACAAATATGTTGAACTTATTTATTAATTACATTTTATAAAATAAAATAAATTTATCATTTTAATTTTTTTAAATAATCGTGTATATTTTTAAAACGTGTATAATTTAAATGTTTGAATTGAATTAAAATTAACAATTTTATAACTTCAAATGTAAAATTTAAAAACAATTTAAAACAAATAAATTTAAAATTTAAAAGCAATTTTAAATAAATTGTAATATAAAATATAAATATAAATATAAATAAATTTAATATTGTTAAAAATATTAATTTTAATAAAATACTTTTATAATATTTATTAAAAATTTAATTTAATTTTAATTTTAAAAAAATTATATAATTTTACAAAAATTGACACTAATTGAAACAAAATAAAAAATACAGTAATTAAATTAAACCTAAGTAATAAGGCATGACATTAATACGTAACAAACTATTATTGTCAAATAATAGTATTACTGTGACACAAAGTTTGACACATAACACAAATAAAATTAAAATAAAGAAATACAAATTAATATCTTTAATGTTATTAGTAACTAAAAGAATTTATATCAAAAAGATTTAAACTAAGGACCAAATTAACACGTATAAAAAAAATATTGATGTAAATTTTTTCTATAAAAATAGGAGATATGAAATTATTTTACCTAATAAGAAAAAACTTGGTTTCCTAGTTAATGACTTTGGCCGGCTTTGGAACAATGGTTCCGGAAGTGAAGGCAAAGAAGCAACAGCATTGTCTCCTCGTACCCAGGAAGAAGTGTCCTTTGCTTGAATAAAAGGAACCAAGTTTTGACATACCAAACAGAAAAATATAACATTGGACTTTAACCAAAATTTAAATAAAATTAAGACCGATCGTGCCATGTTTGTATAAATGGCTCTTTATTACAATCAATTTATTTTTTCAATTT